TGATTTGTGCTTGAATTAAAAACAATAAATATGTATTGATCCTTCACTATAATGTCAATGGTGGACTCATATTAAAAACAATACAATACAAATTCCTCGATACAAAAAAACACAAAGTGACTTCTAACTTTTGTCTGATTATATCTTCTAAATACCATGGACAGCAAAAACATCTGGAGCGGATAATCTGTTTCCACCAGTGCCTCTCTGATTATATCTTCTATATACCATGGACAGCAAAAACATTTGGAGCAGACAATCTGTTTCCACCAGTGCCTCTCTGATTATATCTTCTAAATACCATGGACAGCAAAAACATCTGGATTTGACAATCTGTTTCCACCAGTGCCTCTCTGATTATATCTTCTAAATACCATGGACAGCAAAAACATCTGGATCGGACAATCTGTTTCCACCAGTGCCTCTCTGATTATATCTTCTATATACCATGGACTGCAAAAAGAAACAATAAGTCCATTCTCAACCAACTAACACAAGAGACAAGACGAGTGCTTAGCTACTTTGGCCATATTTATTTATTTTGTAATCCTACAGCTGACAAAAATCTAATATATAAAATTCTCGTGTCGCGGTGTTTGTAGTTAAACTCCTCCGAAACGGCTTGACCGATTCTCATGAAATTTTGTGTGCATATTGGGTATGTATGAGAATCGGACAACATCTATTTTTCATCCCCCTAAATGTTAAGGGTAGTCCACCCCTAATTTTTTTTTTTTTTAGATATTTTTTATATATGATACAGCATTAAAAAATACATACAACCCCTAATTTTCACCCCTCTACGATCAATCCCTATTTTTTATTATAAATGATATACATGGCAAAACGACGTTTGCCGGATCAGCTAGTAATATATAATATCAAACAATGACACTAAAAATATATCCTGAGATGGAATACATAATATATACCTACAAAAATTTTCCTTATCCAACGAAGGATATTCTAGAATGTTTTTGTGCTAATGCAACGAGTGTCATACAGTCACTGGATGCAGTAGTAATTGCTGGTGACTTTAACTTGCCATATATATCTTGGTCTCGTGATGACAATCTTGATACAGTCCTACCAACAAATTATGAATACCCTCTTGGATATGCGTTGGTAGATTTTGTTAACTTAAATAACTTAAAGCAATTGAACTATGTTAAAAACTTTAATAATAGAACTTTAGATTTAGTATTCACAAATGTGGCTAACGCAACACTCGAGAGGCCAGTGGATCTTTTAAGTAAGCTTGATGCTCATCACCCTCAGTTGTTTGTTGTTCTGGATTTAACAGTCGCGTTTCTGCCGAAGTTGCCGCACATTGGTTTTAATTTTTACCGGGCTGATTATTCGATGATATTTAAAGAGTTGCGTGGGATCGACTGGCGTCTCGTTTTCTCTGTGACAAATAGTATTGATGAGATGACTGAAATCTTTTATGAACATATTAATAGTATAATCAAACAACACGTTCCTAAATTTCATCGAAAATCTCATAATTACCCACCCTGGTTTAATAATTCACTTCGAAAATTATTCTCGGAAAAGAATAAACTTAGGCGTCGGTCACGTAAGTACAATAACCCCCGTGATGAATTTGAGTACAAAATTCTACGCGAACGATGTAATAAGCATTATTCAGAGTGTTACTTGGCCTATATACGTAACACAGAGGAGGCCATAAATAAAGATCCCAAAAAATTCTGGAAATACCTTAGTGAAAGACGAAAAAATTCAAATGCGTTGCCATCGCTCATGAAACATGACAGTGGGACTGGCTCAACGGGCAATGAAATAGTAAATTTGTTCGCCACACACTTTTCATCGACTTTCAATAACGATGTCTACGAACTGAATAATAGTACTGCCTCTGCTTATACCCATCCTGATTATATCATGGCTAACCTATTATTAAGCAAAATAGTTTTCCAAGAGGCAACCATACTAAAGGCTTTAAAAAAACTGGATCCTACAAAGGGCGCTGGGCCAGACGGTCTACCACCCCTTTTCGTGAAGAGGTGTGCTGCCGAGCTCGCTTTCCCTCTTACTCTTATTTTTAATTCTTCCCTGGACAAAGGAATATTTCCTACTATTTGGAAAGAAGCACGTATTATCCCAGTATATAAGAAGGGTGAAAGGGAAAGCGTAAAAAACTACCGACCTATCTCGATTCTGAGCACGTTTTCAAAATTGTTTGAGTTAGTTATATGTGAAATTCTCACTTATCACGTTAAACCTATGATAAGTGTGAGACAGCATGGTTTCCAGCGCGGCAGATCTGTGTCTACGAACCTGGTTCCTTATGTCACAACTCTCATGGAGCATGTTGATAAGCGGATACAAGTAGATGCGATATATACTGATTTTAGTAGCGCCTTTGACAAAGTTTGTCACCATATATTATTAAAAAAATTAATTACATTTGGTGTTTGCGGATCCTTACATTCTTGGTTTGCATCGTACCTTAAATTCAGATCATCAACAGTGGTGACAAATGGTTATGCATCAAAACCGTATGTGGCAACTTCAGGCGTGCCTCAGGGCTCTCACCTCGGGCCAATTTTATTTATTTTATTTATAAATGATATAGTAGATCATGTTCATTATAGTGAATGTTCATTGTTTGCCGATGACATGAAATTGTTTAAGACAATAACTTCAACGGATGATATTGCTCTATTGCAAAAGGATTTACTTGCCATACACACTTGGTGTAAAAATAACCTCATGATTTTAAATGCTGGTAAATGCTTTCATATAAAATTTACTAGGAATAAAAACTTATTCCAATCTTCTTACTCAATTAATGGAGTTGCTCTTGAGGAGGTTGATCGTATACGAGACCTTGGTGTGACGCTGGATAGTGCTCTCAGTTTTACTCCTCACCACGAAATAATTATAGCGAAATCATTTCAGATGCTCGGTTTCATTAGGCGTAATACCACTGACTTTAAGAATGTTAAAACTCTTATTACTCTGTACAATGCATTGGTGCGCAGCCACCTTGAGTACGCTAGTGTTGTGTGGAATCCCACATACCAAACACACAAGTATGCACTAGAACGTCCTCAAAGAACATTCACACGGTTCCTGGCGTACAACACCCCTAAATTTTGCTGCAGAAGGGATTATGTTGATCGATTACAGAAGTTCAATTTGCAAACTCTCGAGGATCGTCGTATGATTGTGGACCTGGTGTTTTTGTACAAGTTGATGCACGGCACGATTATTTGTCCAGATATTTTAAAAAAGATTTACTTCGTAGTGCCTAGAATCAACGCAAGAAGAAGACAGACTGATACTTTTGTCGTTCCACAGTCCTTAACCAATCTAGGTAAACATGCGCCCCTCAGTAGAATGCTTAGGAATTTTAACCAATGTATTTGTAGACATAGTCTTGACGTGTATTATGACTCACTTCCTAGTTTTAAGAAGAAAATTCAGTCATCTCAGCCATAAGTCATGTAATATTTACCACGTTTCAATTTATCTATGTTTAAAGATACAAATACTTAAGTAAACTCTGTCCGCTTTCATTTATTAGAGTCAATGTTGTGTACACCTATTATTAGATTGCATGCTAGAACAAAACCCAATATTGTTAATTAGAAAATATATACATGTAATCTGTTGGTGTTCCTTAATAAATACATAAATACATACACAAAAAGGTTAATAAATATGCAAAACGGAACAAACAATAAAATTTATTCAAAACTTTTAACTAAGAGTTAACTTATTTGGCTGTGATCTGTGATGGTGTAAATGTGAGGGTATGTACGGGAAAGTGTGTATGTGGGGTGTGCTCATGATGCAGTTGATTTTGTGTTTAAATATTGGTCCTTGTATATCCGGGCTGTACGACACAAAACAGAGTTTTTTTGCATAGTTAGTGTTGATGTGAGAAACATGAAATAAAGCACACATTGCCAGGAAAGAACCAAATTTGTTGCTGTATATTTTTAAAAGAAGCATTATTAATTAATACTCTACACAAATTGAAAGATATTTCATTTTTAAAAATGGTTTAAAGAGAGATTCTGTATGGGAGACTGGTTGCATAATGGCGCCATCTGTTGCGTCACACATCAATAATTTATATATTTAACGCAATACTTTTCAATTTTTAAATTATACAAGGAGAAAAAAGTTATTCAAAATGCATTCGCGTTATAAATCGCGTCAATACAAAATTTTTATAGCGTAGCATTTTTATATAAAAAAATAAATCAATGGCGCTACAACCTCTTTAGGTCTTGGCCTCAGATTTCTGAATCTGTTTCATGATCATTTTTAAATCTAATAGGCAAGTTTTGGGTCTAAGACATGTCGGTTTCCTCACGATGTTTCCTTCACCGTTCGAGCAAATGTTAAATGCGCACATAGAAAGAAGGTCCATTGGTGCACAGCCGGGGATCGAACCTACGACCTCAGGTATGAGAGTTGCACGCTGAAGCCACTTTTTTTTTATTTTTTTTTTCGTGGGGAAATGCGTTACGCATACCCTCCTGCGGCATGGTTGGCCTGGTGGGGAAGGGTTATGTGGGACTCGCTGTTGTGCATACCCACTAAAACCCCACGGCGCCACCAGCAATCGCCCGGGGCAGGACACGGTAATAGCGTAGCCTTGTCCGCATCCAGCCACGCGATCAGCCGTTAATATTACGGTCCTCTACGGCCACGAATGATGTGGAATGGACCTTGGCACAGCAAGGGCCTTTCACATCGGCCAATTCATCCTGTTTTATAGAGCTGGGGGAGGCCGGGTACAATGCTTGCAGGGATGTGTCAGCATCCCTTCTTACGCTGAAGCCACTAGGCCAACATTGCTCCATAGCATTTTTATATAATTAGAAATTATATTCTTAACCATTTGTAGATTTATTAAATTAAAAATTATTAAAAATCATGTGACGCAAAGATCTCGTTTTAATAGCAAAAAGCAGTTATAGCGACACCTACCATCATGTACAAATTACTGCGAAGACGTCATGCCCAGAAACGCCCTAACGAACTATAGTCAGCTAAAGATATATACAACTTTTCTAACCGTTAAGGCCCATTTAGATGGTGAGAGTTTCTCGCACGTTTTGGGGCGAGAAATCGTACGCGACTATCACCAGCAATAATCGCCTAAGCATAATCGTATCAAAATGTTTACATACAGACAAGAACTAAATTCTCATGATTATGTCATACGAGAATTGCCAGTGATTTATCGCTAGGCGCTAATTTCCTGCGTCTGTTTACACATCGACATTTTAGTAAGAAGATTCTTACTTACCATAATCTCGACTAGTATAAACACGATCTCGTATAATTTTTTTTTATGTTTATACGAGTTTCGTACAAATCGGTTTGAACCGTTTTTAGTGCGAGATGGTCATTCGAGTTTAGTGATTACTAGGGTATTGTTCTCAAAAATTACAAAAAAATTGGTGTGAATGTTTAGACGAAGAAACCTTTTTTAATATTCTTTCAATAATTGTAGCTTTGAGACGAGAAACTCTCTCCATCTAAATGGGCCTTTAACTTCTGAATAAAACGGATCCTAACGGATTCGAATGATCCATTTGGCACATACCGTAGCCAATGACAAATTAAAAGCCACCCTCGCGGCAAAGCAAGGTCAGATTAGGGTAAAAAACTGTCTTCACTGGGGACAGCAGTTATTACGTATTTCGCTCACTCCAGTGAGCTTCCGTCCTGTTCAGCTGCGTCCGCGGTGGCCCTGGCCGAGTTCCGTGTCTCGCAGAAGACGCCCTTGCGCTAGTCGCGGGACAAGCCCATTCCGGCCGAACTATCCTCGCCAAAACAGCCCGAGCTGAGCTGTCAACTGTCAAGTCCTTTCAGATTACATAAAAAACAAGTTCAATATTCGATTAGACATAATCTCTCATTCATAACTCAGTGGCACAGAACGAACGAGAACTGAGATGAAGCTAGAACACTTGAAACTTTTTAGGTTGTATTGCCAAGAAATTTGTTGGAAGCAACTTTTATTATTTTATCAAATTTTTAAAGGCAAGGTGATTTTTATATCTTGGGAGACTATTTAGATTTTAGACCATAAGTTTTGACAACAATTATAAGCAGAGCTGTCAAAGCCCCTCAGGAGAACAACGAGATTCCATTTAAAAAAAAATTGCCACTGACCAAAAATTGATTTCCATATATGAACTAAATTGCAATAAATTTTTAATAAATCAAATTTCTATGAAAGGCGAGCGCGGTATTTGCTCAGAGCAATCACGTACCGAGACTGGAGCGACTAGCCAAGCATCCGATTTGAAAATGAGATCAAAATTATATTTCTGATAACGTCCGAGGCTTCAAATTCAATTCTGATGGCTTATAGAAGTGGCTTTTTTTTAATAAAATAGGTTCTAGATTCAGGTTGTATGTATATGTTAACGTAAAATTGTAAAAACCGTTAGATTGTAATCTATCTCGCGAGATTATAAACTGTCGAAAGATTGTGAACCTCAGCGTACTGCTTACAATTTAACGTATTATTTATTCGGTAGATTGTAATCTATCGAAGTGAAACCGTCGGTGACATATATATACGCTACACGGATACGTTGACGGAAAGTAATAATAAGAGAATCATTCATAGACTATACTTCATAGGCTGCCCAAATCTCCTATCTCAAGCTAAATTCTCTGTCCCTAGACGGAGAACACTCATTTCTCGGTTAACATAAATAAAAATAACTCATAACTACCTTCTGGAAGGGGCAACTGGAGTAAATTTTTTTAACTTGTAATTTTTACTTTCAAACGTGCCTTTTTAAAAGGCCTAATGGAAATAAATGATTTGACTTGACTTAATCTTGACACAGTGCGATCAAGTAACAAAAAAGCCGCAAGCCGCACGAAGGCATACGTTTACGTTACGTTTATTGTCATGATATACGTTTTACGTTTACTACGTAATAACTACTACACCACTTTCAAAATCACTCACAGATGTTTGGGTTTTTGCTACTCAAAGTACACACACACAACACATGATTTGTGCGTTTTGTCTTATTAATAATAATAAAAGTTACTTTGTCGTATCAGTTTTGATTAAATAATATCTGTTTTAGGTGACCTGCCCCGGCCACGCAGTAAAGGCGAGTATGTCTTTGTGATCGCCCAACTACTGTTTGGTTTGCTTCTCTTCGCGACAGTGTTGGGGCACGTGGCGAATATTGTCACGTCAGTCAGCACAGCCAGGAAGGAGTTTCAGGGTATGTAATTAGTGACTCTCCATAATGGGTGAGGTAAAAGACTCTCCGTGCTTATTGCCAGTTCTTCTCTTCCGTTCTCTGCCCTTAATTTGACTGGCAGTAAATGTAAAATTAGAAGCATTTAATGTATATTCCTCTTTTGACATTCATAAGTGTACGAGAACATTGTGTTACCTGCATGAATAAATGATTTTCGACTTGACTTTTGATACAGCATTCAGTCGGCGCAAAGTCTTCGTTAACGTGAATCTGTGCAACAGACTGGTTCAGAACCAAAACAAACTTGGCCTTTGCCATCGCACATAACCCCTAGGTGCAAAGAAACCGAGTTCTTGGAGAACACTTGGGTTGCTCATCACCTCTCGCAAGACTTTCAGTATCAAAACAGTGTCAATACAATATTTTGTCTGTGTTAACGAGATTTTTTCGTTTATCAATGGAGACGCGTGACTCACGTGAGTCCCTCAACTCTCGGACTCGTAAGGTGAATTCGGAAGTATATTGGTCCATAAACCTGGTTTGATTACATCCTATTTCGCAGTAACAAAAAGTTTTACAACCTGTTCTGTTGATTAGATTAGTTATACATTGTGTATTTCATGAACATCAATCGAGCTCTGTTTAGAACGATAAAAAATAAAGTCCTTTAAATTATAATCGACGCCATGATATATTTGATATGATGTATTTTCGAAATATATAGTGTTAAATAATTTATACATAATCTATGTATGATGTTGGTACTCGTATCTTGAATACATACAACTCTTCTCTTCTTAAATTTTGATTCGCTGAGCTGTTGCTGTTAATTATTTTAACCTCGTCACCGGTTATTCTATTACTTTCATAGATTATAGGAAAAATAAAACTATGCATTTATTATTATTTTTAGTTATTTATACAATATATTTTTTCTTTGATCTACCAGATTCAGACACGCCTATATAGTCTGTCTCACTCTAACGCGTACCGGCTGCACCGGCCGCTCACGCTACTTCACCGATCTCGTCAGAGAGATGTGAATATGCAGTATGCGTTCTGTCCCACTCTAACGCACCTGCACTACGTCACCGATCACGCCAGACCGAAGTGCAGCGTTGCCAACTCTACCAACTTTTAGGTAGATCTACCAACTTTTTAGGTAAATCTAGCAAGTTGTAGGTAGATCTACCAACTTTTAGGATATTTCTCTTATCTACTTTACCTTATAAAGAAAATCCACCAACTTTTTGTTTATAAATTTTTTTAATTTTTATATTGTTTAATTTTCTTTTATGCACACAATAAGTTAAAAACAGCGCTTTTGCGTTCTTGACAGTTGAAATATATCGATATACATCAGCCAATAAGAAACCTCGGCTTATTTATTGAGAGTTTCGACTAATGTCTAACTTCAAGACTCTCATGAACTTACTATGTATTTTGATTTGTAAAGCGCAGCCTTGAATGTTGTTAAATAAAGTATTTTAGTACTATTGGTCTATCTAAACATTAAAAAAAAATTATTAGTAATGAAAGTGAAAATGAAGAAAATTCTCCTCCACGAAAGTTGAGGAAAATTCATTATGATCAAAAATATTCAAAATTCTCGGAAAAAGAAACAGAATATGCAGGTTGGATTAAGCATTTCAGTTTTCGGCCTCCATTGTCAAGTAAATTATGTTAGATTGATCTCTTCAATCCATAACATGCTTTGATTTTTTTATGAATATTGTCCACTTTTTAGTAAATATTCATTTTTTTACTATAATACTATTAGTGATTACTTTTTTTACGAAAAAAAAATGAATTAAAGGTATCACATCTAAGGGTAGGATTTTATATAAAACTTGAAATTATAGTTGGTAGATCTACCTACTTTTCGAATTGAAGATGGTTGGAAACTACCAACTTTTGAAATTGTATCTACCTACTCGATAAAAATTCGAGTTGGTAACACTGCCGAAGTGTGACGCAGTATGTGTTCTGCGCTCTAACGCGTCGGCCGCACCTATTACGTCATCGTGTGTAAGATTTTTATTTTCGTTACGGAATTTCTTGATTCAGTCGCCGCGCTCGACGCCCGCGATAGAATCTATGCAATAGCTTAAAAGGATTTATACCTCCAATTAAGTTTGGTGGTGGTTTTTTGTATGGAGATGTTCAAATAATATACCTGAAGCTGGGTAACAACCAGCGTTGCCAGATTTTTTTATTGTCAAGGCGGGATTTTGGAACTTTTTGAGTTAAAAAAGCGGGAATTTCTCGTCGATAGCGGGACATAGTAACTAAAGGTGGTATTTTAAATGAGATTTACCCTATCGTTAAATACTTGTCTTCTTAATAAAAAAAATAAAATAAACAAAACTAAACCAAAAAAAGTATTCATTAGACAATTAGGCGTTTCAAATAATTGTCAGAACGGAGGAATGAGTATATGATATACCTGGTATCTTTTTTTGGTAGCTGTTAAAAGAGCTGGTGCCATTTCTGAGCATGGCAGTGGTGTCTTGAGTTAACCCCAAAAAGCGGGAAAAAGTCTGTCCCGCGCGGGGCATTTCATTTTCATTAAAAAATCGGGACGTCCCGCCAAAATCGGGACGTATGGCAACGCTGGTAACAACTGAGTTTAATGGTTTAAAATATAAACTTATAACTAACATAAAATTACGGGTAGTGGGGTTGCGACGCTAACAAAAACAAACTTGGCTTATCTAAGGGTTCATAAATTTAAATGACACTTACGTAATTGGACATACATTTTGTTTACGCTTCTAATTAGAATAGAAAATGAATACTAATTAGTATCTAAAATATTTATATGTAACTTAACTAACTCATCAAACATGATTAAAAATTTCTTAGCCAAATGATATTTGTTTCAATGTCACAAAAAATAAAACTAACAATGAAGTTTCCACAATTTATATAATAGCCCAGTGGACTTCCGTCATATTGCATACGCTTTGATGTTGTCCTATATACGTAGACTGTTTTAGCGACTGTGAATGTTTGGGTCTTAGACATGCTGGCATTCTTGCTATGATTCCCTTCGTAGCAGTGGTGTGACAATAGGGTGGCAGGGCTGGCAAAATGCCACGGGCCCCGACTCAAGAAGGCATAAGGGATATTATGTTCTATGGATGATAGTGAAGTCTCCAATACGCATTGGGCTACCGTGGGAACTACAGACCATTCCCTCTCGCCTAAAAGAGGAAGCCTATGGTCAATAATGGGACATATACAACCTATAATTGAATACGCTGAAAATCTCGAAGTTTATTAAAATTAAACTGAGTACAACGTGACGATTTTTACTGATAGGGCCCCAGATGGTATAGTTACGCCGCTGCTTTGTAGCATTTCGCTAAAAGCAAAATGGTGCACTTAAACCTCTAACAGAGGGAAGATTATATGTTTGGCCAGGTGGTAGACGTTCATGCTGCATTTGTATTCTGGAAGTGGCATCTCTGTGTACTCTATCTAATATATTCATTTCAACATCAGTTAATTTTATAACCAATTCGACTTAACCTTCAAGAAAAGAGCGAACTCTTAATAGGCAGCCAACGCACTTGCAAGCCTTCTGGCAGTCCATAAGCGGTATCACTTAACAACAGGTGAGCTTAGAAAATATAACCTCAAAATCGATTTTGTCAACACTTCAATCCACAATACTAATAAAAGTTTATCTAATGTTGCTGATAGTAAATAAATACTTATGTTTGATAATAACATTTCACTAATTTAATCATTTCTGTGGTTCAACGCGTTCAATTTCAGTCGCGTATTGTTAATTTCATAATTACACAATATCGCTTCATTTAATATACTATGCAATATTGAGCAGTGATAGTTTAGTGGTTTTGAGGCCGTGGGTTCAATTAGCGATTGAATTTATATGTGCAAAAATCGTATGTGCTAGCATACGCCAAAGGAAGTCGGCATGTGCAGATTATCTATTTGCTTATAATGGTAGGGGAGCCCAAGAGGGGATTTCGGGATTTACTAAAGCGCGGCAGATTAATATACAGGGGGATAGCTTGTACTCGGTTAAGTACCTCCACAAAACATGAGGTCCATATATAAAGCCGCCTGTGAAGGAGACAGGATCAGATTAGTAAAAAAAATTGACCATCAGAAATTCCCGAGCGCATCAGATTAAGGTAGGGTGAGTTAATTACATCCTAAAAAGTGTATATTCCACTAATCTGACAATTTGAGAGTGACGGAAAAAAAGGGGAGGGCAACAAAGTTGTAAAAAAAACGTCATCTCGACATTCTCGAGCGTAGCTAATTTTTTTTTATTTTGAAGGAAATAATTCAAGAATAATGAAAAATATATAATCTGACGATTTCCGCAAGCCGAAATAACAAAAATTCGTCGATAAAGTTAAATGCGTGCAGCTGCGTGATGCCTACATTTCCTTAAACCGATCGGAATCTACTAAACGGCGTTCTAAATATTTCCCTCAAAATTACATTTCCTGTGAATTTGAACCGATTCGGACCGATAGATTTTGAGAAATTTTGAAAAATCTTAAAAAATAAGAAATATTTTTTTTTAAAGTGGTTTCTTTATCGATCAACTTCAAAAACTAATCCACCTTTGAGCTTGAAAAACCACGTTGATCGCCACTAAGCTGGTCAAAAGCGGTTGATTCGTTCGAGAGATATCGTGAACGAAAGAAACCCGAAAAAGTGTTTATTCGGGATTACTCCGAAATTTGTGGTTCGATCAATTAAAATTGCAAAATTACTTATGAGGATGATAAAACTGCGTCGAATGCCGCCAACCGCGTGAAAATTGCTTGATCCATTCAAAAGTTATTGCGGTTTGAAAATTCCAAAAATAGTGTTCTATGAAACTTCTATCAGACTTTCGACCTGGGAGAGCTCAAATGCATAGAAATGTTATTTCTTTGAACTCAGCGAGCTCAAAATATCAATTTTAAGCGCCCAGGAATGGAATTAGCGGGAAGTTGCAGGGATGGCCCTTTAGGTGAACCGTTTTTCTAATTTTTTTTTG